AATGTGTTGTGAATCTAAAGGAACAAAAATAACATGTTATATAAAACACAGGCTATCATTAAGACATGAATCCACAACTGAATTAAATAAATAAATGTCAGGATGAATGCAATGTCACTGAGATTTGTGAGTATTCATTAGAGATGCACACAGTATTTGACTGATAAATCATTAAATAGAATATCCATCACTTTATAAAGGAAAACACACTTTTCAAATCAGACATATTTTTATTGAAGAGATGGAGATGAATAGTGTTACATTGTTTCAATAACAAACATTTATAACACATGACTATTAATTATTGATTTTAGCTGTTTTTCTCTTTCTCTCTGCAGGCTGATTAACTGCAGTATTGCAGAGAAAGGATGTGCTGCTCTGATTTCAGCTCTGAGATCAAACCCCTCACACCTGACAGAACTTAATCTGAACTGTAATAAACCAGGAGATTCAGGAGTGAAGCTGCTCTCTGCTCTACTTGAGGATCCACATTGTAAACTGGAGAAACTACAGTGAGTGTTATTATATTACTGAACACAAAATCTGTGTGAAAATACTGACAAACAAAAACATTTAATGTTAAAGGGATAGTTCACCCAAAAAATTTAAATTCTGTCGTCACTTTGCTGATTTTCAAGTCATTTCAAAACAGTATGACTTTCTTCTGTGGAACATGAAAGAAGATATTTTGAGAAATGTTTTTTGTCCACACAATGGAAAGCAATAATACCACAACTTTGGTTGGCAACAGTATTCAAAATATCATCTGTTGTGTTTCACAGAAGAAAGGTCATACAGGTTAGGAACGACATGCAGGGAAGTAAATTATGACAATTGTAACTTTTGGGTGAACGATTCCTTTAAGAAATGATAAATGTTCAAATACAGTGATTATACTGAATGTGCTCAAGACAAATATATGTTTGTATTTACACTTATAGACCATTGAACAACAAAGTACATGAGTGAAAGCCAAAATTAAACATACAGATACATTTTAATCTGTTTGAAGAGTATTTATATCAGAGGGAACAGTATTCATAAATGCTAGTATTTCCGCTGTCAGGTTTGCACCTCTCACTCTTAGATTCATCTTTGAGCAATTGATGTTATGTATTTATTATCTCTGAATTGGATTCTATTTGTTTAATTATGTAATTGGCATGATACATTTTTACCTGACAGATAAAATGTTATATTTGATTTATTCTGAACTCTTCAGAAATCACTATGATTTGTAGATCAGGTGGAGGCTGGTGTTTCCTCAAATCTGTGTCCAGGACAGAACAGACTAAAGGCTCATGGATGAATGGAGCAGTAGACACGTCATGGATGTCCAGAATAATCAAATATCTCAATTAATACTAACCAGTATTTGTGATTAGTTACTAATTAGAAACACATTCTAAATGTAATGATCACTTGAAAATTGGAGTCAGATTAAACACAGAGCTACAATAAAATGTAAACGCAATCCTAACAAATTAAGTGAACTTTGCAGAAGCACGAGTAGTAGACCTGCACACATTATATCTTCAACTCTTTAAGACAAGTCGTTTCACTCGGCGGCCATCTTTGAAACGCCTTCGGGCATCCGAGTGCAGCTCCTATCTCTTTGAATGGGGAAACATCAAATTCTCCTAAACTGTTCACTAAGCTTGCGACTAAATTTCATATTTGAAAACGCCAATGAAATCTGACAACAACAGTCTCATAAAGTTTGTTTCTTATATTCAAATACTATTAAAAACAGCTTGTTTTTCATGCTAGATCAGCCAATGAGCAATCGCAGTCATGTGCGCGAGTCTGAGCACGCTGCCTGTTTCTATAGCTACCGGAGCTTCTAACCGCAGCTGCAGTGACACGATGACTTTACTGATCCACGATTGGCCCTTTCATTTAGAAGGCGGGGCTTATTCGCCATATTGGGCATTGCACTTTCTCCCATTCATAAGTAATAAGAGTGCACAGTCTTCCTATACACAAAGTCTTTGATCTTCACCCACTCCACTGGATTCCATCATTGGGCTGTAGGATCTCTGTCTCGAACAGACCCAAATAAACTATGGATTCACCACTGAACTATTGAACAGACATTCCAGAAGAATCAAGGTTCCCCCTCCTAACTGTTTGCAGCCGTAAAACTGATACATGGTCAGCCTGGGGTGCCCAATTGTCTCGAGCAGTTCCTGTCCCACTCTGCTTATCGTCTCAAGAGACGTCGAAAGCAGTGATAAGACGTAATCCAATCAAAAGAAGAAGAAAACCCCTTTTGTTTTAGAACCATGTCAGCGCAAATGGTTTATTGTCCCCTGCTGACCAAGCTTGCATGTACGACAGGAAGGGAGTGATTTTGCAAACAAGCTCCAGGCCTGCAAAAACAACGGATCTAAAGAACAGTGACAATCAACCTCTGTTTGAGACCATCCAAGGACCAGATGTGCAGTGTAACTTTGACCAGCTTCAGCATAAATCGATAATCCAATAAACAAGAAAGACAGATTTACAGTTCCATCGTCTGAGCGGGAAGATCAGCAGACCTCCACTTCCTTGACCTCAGGACATTCCTCCTCTCCTTTCTACATGATAACTCGCTCCCTTTTCGTTGCAACAAAGGAACACGCAAACTCGCATAGATGATTTCAAAAGACAATAATTTAAAAGTATAAAAGGGCAACTATATTCACAAATAATATGTTTTATGTCTTATATATGCTTGATGTGTTTCATGTAATTGGTGCGACTTTAATCAATGTTTTATAACCCCTTTTTAGCAGATAAAGCTATTAATATGTGTGTAAGATATGTGAAGTTTAGTGTTGAATGAAAATTTGTGATAATTGCAGAACATTGAAATATATGAAAAGCTGTTATTTTGAACAGTGTGTGTTGTACGACACTTTATAGAAGTTATTAACAAAACCTGCAAAGACATTTCCCCACGTGATGAATTGAACAGCATGTTAATTTATGCATGAAAAAGGAACCACACAGGGCATAGCTCCGCCTTGCAACAAGCTGATTGGGACAATCGCTTCTGGGATGGACCAAATTGGCTCGCTTAAAACCAAATGTTCTGAACAGATCAGTGCTCTTTCGCTCTTTCGCCTGTGTTCGATTGCGCTCCAACTTGCGCTCACAACCTGCACCATCAAGCGATTGGGTCATCCAATAATTCTCAATCCTTCCGTTGAAACTTTGTGACTGCCGAAATCTTCAAAGTCTAAAGCCAAGCAAAGAAACTCTCAGAAGAACTTCAAGCATCACTCTCCGTACCTAAGGCAACCGACTTCCGAAGCTCCTACGTCACAAGGCAACCAACCATTCACCACGAGGGCTTCTCCCAAAAGATGTCATCCAAATGACAGATCTACAACCAATCAGAGGCTCCGGGCTTCCCTGGGACGAGCCAACGAGGAAAACCCTCTCAGCTCTCAACTCAAACGCAAGTAAATAGAACATAAAAAAAAACTTCCTGGCGTTGTGAGGCATATATGCAGTGAATGAATCTTCATAATGTTTCACTTGATTGTACATTTAGTCAGGAATCATGGTTTGGAAAAAGTAACTAGTAAAATACGTACAAGTTATGTCACAGTAACACAATAGCAACTAATGCAAGTAGGCAAATAAAAAAAGACTTACTATATCCTCCACTGAATATCACGCCGGCGCGTTCTTCTGAGGAAAATCCAGAAGCGAATCCAGAAATCCAGTCTTCTTCCAGAAGCGAAGTATTTGAGATGAACGTGAGGAAAAGTCTCGCTGCTTTGTTTGCTGTGATGTGGGCGTTTACATGCGCGGGGTCTCACGTGGATGATTGTAATATCAAAAGCGCGATCGGCGCGTGGTCACATTAGCGATAATGAGGGCGACGGCCAAGACTTGACATCGCGTTGGTTTCATACTGTATGAAGGAGCATTTTAGTTCTTTTCGCTGTCAACATTCAAATCTGCAAAAAGTTCCGCCGCCGGAACTGTCGACCCCAGGAGGTTAAGCAGTAAAGATAAGACAAATCTCTGCTTTGTGATTCTCTCAGGTTGCGATTTAAAGAACTGGTAGCGAATAACTTACTAGACTTTTGGGACTTCATGCAAACTCCGTTAATCCTCATCCTTTGAACTGTGTGTGTATGTGTGTGTGTGTGTGTGTTTTCATTAGCGTAGTACCATGCAATCTAAAGTAGCTCAAATAAATTCATGTTTCATTACAAGAATCATTGTCTTGTGTTGTGTATTTTCAAGTTAAAACTTTGCCCAGATCTAGCTACCTAGCTCGTAGCTTAATAATCATCACTAACAGTTATTATGACCGTGGCCAGGGCATAATATAAATATCCAAATTGTTAAGATATAGTGATGTTAACATCTCGCTGGACGAACAGTTGTAAAACTATAAAGTGTAAAACTATCAAATTTGGAATCAGTTTTAATCAGGTTGACTTTGTATCTTCAGATTCAAATTCCCCTCTCAAAAGAGTTAATTTCCTTACAGGGCCAATGAGTGATCATTACTTGTTATAGCACTTGCATATCATTGCTCTTTTGTTGATTTTGATTGCTTCCATTGTCCTCATTTGTAAGTTACTTTGGATAAAAGCGTCTGCTAAATTACTAAATGTAAATGTTACAAGACTTATATGTCAGTTATACTATAATGTTGCTCTTATTTTTACATTATCACCTACATTATATAGTACTACAAACTGTTTGAAGAGTGAAAACGATAAACTAGTTCAGCATCACAATCATGAATCATGTGGGTAGAGTGCATTTAAATTAATGTCTTAGCTGCTGGCAAGTTAAAATCTCTAGAGCGCCGATTCTCGTGAATAGAAAAAGTAGTGCATGAACAAACACACATAAACACACTCTCACCCTAAAGCTTAAAAACAATCTCAGAGATCATTCATGTTCTTCACTCTCTGCAGGCTGTTTAACTGCAGTATTGGAGAGGAAGGCTGTGCTGCTCTGATTTCAGCTCTGAGATCAAACCCCTCACACCTGACAGAACTGGATCTGAGCTTTAATAAACCAGGAGACTCAGGAGTGAAGCTGCGCTCTGCTCTACTGGAGGATCCACACTGTAAACTGGATAATCTATAGTAAGTTATTGATTCAATGCTTTCATTTATTATCTTGTATTAAAGCAGATCTTAGTGTATTTTATCTTTCTCTATATTGTACAGTATTTGACAGTGGAAACTCCACAAGCTCCAAACAAGTGAATCAAAACAACACGTCCTGAACAAGACTGTCACCTGGACAAATGCAGATACTGATCCAGCAGTTTCACATGTGAATGATGTTTGTTATTAAGTTTCATTTAGCCTAAAAAAATTTTCCAGTCTTATGGGAAAATTTTTTAAATAAGTAGATTGGACATACTAACTGCACTGTAAAAATGTTAGTGTGAAATTACAGTATATTCCAGGTTAATAATTGCACGACTTTCACAGTAATTTCACAGTGGGACTTCTCTTGTATCTAACTGCACTCTCAGAAATTTATTTAAACAAACAGCATACTGTGTTTCTAAAGTGCATATGTACTATGAAGGTTCCCAGCATGCAATGCAGCATGAATAGATCGTGCTGTAGATTTAAAAAAAAAAATTTTTGTTGGTTTTATTTGTGCTAATGAACTTGTTTTTAGTTCACTTTTAGCAGTTTGTGTTGTTGGTTTATTTTGTAACGTTGGTTTATGTTGTAAGTGCTGTTTTTATTTGTCGAGTGTTACTTTTGCTGTGCTTTGTATGTTGAGTATTAATGTCACATCTTTCAAAGACGTTTCTCAGCAGTTACTTCACTATTGTGAAAGATCCAGCCACAAACAGTTATGAATATGAAAAAAGTTATTGGTTAATCTTCTTGTTTAAATAATGCTAAAATAAAACTTTCATGTTTATGTGAATAATTGTTTGACTATCCTAAAGTCAGGTGAATAACTTATTTCATATTCTAGTTTGTCATCATTTTAATAATCATACTTCTGACGTGATTAGATCATAAATTTGAATATGAATATGCAAGGTCAAAGAGCACAAACAAATGGCATCATCAATCACCATTATGGTGACTTCAAAACAATTACAGTAAACAACTAAATTTCTCACAGTGGCACAGTTAAAGACAACTTTATAATGTGAATTATAAAGCAGTAAATTACTGTGATGTTAGCATCATTCTGCTGTTCATTCAGTCATTTGTAAGAAAATTACCCAGCATGCTTTGATTTCAGAGTACATTTCTGACTACATTAATATATTGTAAAACAATACTCTTTAATCCTGTAAATTCCTGGCTTTTTTTTTTACAGTGAAGATAGATAGATAGATAGATAGATAGATAGATGATATTGTTTATGATAATCAGTTTAATGCCAAAGCATGGCATTTCAGGATACAAGCAACAGTATCCAGCAATATCCAATATCTTTTGCTTATTTGAAGGGACATGTCTTCCCTTTTTATTCTTCATCTGTTCACCTGTCATGTAATAAATAAACAAACAAACACAAACATGTTTGGTGTCTACTGAGAAGCATCACAGATCAGAATCTTTGTGAAAATAATGACTTACAACTGTGAGTCAGTCCTATTAATACAAAGACATCAATAGCAACTCTGGGAATGTGGTGAAAAGATTTCAAGTCAATTTTTAGAAAATAACATTTCAAATTTAATCAAATGGGACAAAATAGTTGGTTAAAATAGTGGTCTTCCATCACTCACCTTAGACTGAGTTTGATGGTTTGAAACTTCAGCTGTTGAGGTGTTGTGGCACATGAATTTGAGAGATTTTCAGTATTGAGGATGTCCCTCGTCTAGAAAGAGAGCAAAAGAGAAGCAACAGTACACAGATAGTAACAACCAAATCCACAAAATCTCACTGAAACTTGGGTGGTTGACCACTTACGTGGGTTACTGATGCTGGTAAATGTCAGACATTCAGGTAAGTCCTTCCAGGTCTCTTGGAAATAGTTATTTAGGAGAAGCTGGTCATCCAGCCTCCTCAGAAGTCCTGGCACCATTACAACTCTTTTGGTTTGAGGGTCATTTGAGCTGCCTGAAAACCAGGTTAATCTTGTACAAGGAAATCTACCGGTAAAACACAAACGGTGAACAATCAGCAAAATATGGAGCTGTGAGCTGCAAAAGAGAGGAAAACACTCAGGTTTATCAAGTAGGCATCCTCTGGGAAGTTGTATCTCACCCCTCTACCTCCTCGATTGGTATGTTTTGGAAGACAGGTAGACGGTCAGCTTGCCATAAAAACTATTATATACCTTCTGCAAGTCACTCTCCTCTAGGCAATCTGCACACAAAACAGAGCATGCTTTCTGTATGTAAACTGGAAGTGGACAGTCTATTTGTAAATGATCAAAAAACACTTACCAAGAATTCCTGCTATAGCCATTTTGACCTCGGACTGACTCCTCAGCAGCACTGATTTCAGGAGCTCCTTGTCCAGCTCTTCATAGCACATCGCTCATCCTCCTCTCCCTCAAGAAGATACTCTGGTCCTCCAGCATGTCTAGCCCCTCGAGTTGGCTCTCCTTCTCCTGCAGATCCAAGATAGAGGCCATTGGTACATCAGGGGTTGAGGCCCTGAGTTTGACCAGTTCTGCAATGATTTTCTTTTCATGTCAACATGGCTTCTTTATTCTTAGATGTTTAAAAGAATAAGATGTTGACATTACTTAAATTCCACCAAAATTGCACGCTTATTTGACACAAAATAAAACTCTGGATTCTGATAGGGAAGGTGCACAGTAAGTGCAGAGGTGTCCAATCCTGCTCCTGGAGTGTATCTCCAGTACACCGGTCTGGAAATTTCTAGTGATCCTGAAGATCTTGGTTAGCTGGTTCAGGTGTGTTCGCTGGAAGGTGGCCCTGCAGGAGCAGAACTGCACACCCCTGCTCTCTGGCCTTCGAGGTCCACTTATTTCCAGCCTTGATCAAACTCACCTGCCAGTAACTTTCTAGTAATCCTAAATACCTCGATTAGCTTGTTCAGGTTTGTTTGATTAGGGTTGGAGCTAGAGGGACGCATTGGGATTAGGACCCCTAATGCGGTTTTACCTTTGCTGCGGGTGGTTAAAAAATATAGTGTGGGCCCCGCCATCCTGCTTGTTTGTAGTAATAAAAATAATTTAGTTCAGTTGGAAAATGTAAACCATAACCATAAAAGAAACCATAGTGGACATTATTGAGTGCACTCATTCAATCCCATAATTCACCGCAATAACAAGCATACAACCGATGTACACTCAATGGCTAGAGAATACCCATAATGCACTGCGAGGGTCTTACCAGAAGATGGTACCTGCAGCTGAATAATCCATTCTTCCATTTTCCGAACCACTGGTCCAATGTGGGTACAGCATAATATCATACAGGTATACTTTTTTTTAAATTTGATTATTAAATAGTTTAATGGAGGTTTATACATAGTTTCCATGACAGATTTCAAGATAAATCTTTTCTGGAGCTGCCAGTTTGCGAAGTTTCAAATGATTATTAAACAGCAAACACAAACTATTCAAAAGCGGCAGCCCTTCTGTCACACTCAGTGTCTGAAATCACTGACTCGTTTTCATTCCATTCCATTTCATTTGGCTTATAATTTCATTTTTATATTCTGAAAAGGAAAAACCACTGGTTTTTAAGAAAAAGACAAGCTGCCATTGGAACAGAACAAATTAATATTCATGAGGTGAGAATTTGACGTTGTATTCACATGTTCTCAGTCAAATTTCACCGAATTTGTCATACTTTTTTATTTTTTATTAATTCCTTCTTTTGAATTTATTTTTATCTGGTTTCACTACACAGCATTATATTTCAACTTTTAGAAAAGAGTATGTTGTATGTTTTTCAGAATGTATGCAAATGTATGTTTTCCAATTTGATTCCATCACTGGTCTAATTGAGAGTCTCATTGTATTTTGTCCCTATAAATGTTACAGCCAGAGGCGTCATGCCCATTCAAAGTGAGATTTCTGTATGTATCAGAAATGTTCAGGTGAGCCATCGCTGAAACGTGGTGTTTTGTTCACTTGCTCGCTGTCTGAATTATCTGGCGAATTCTCTCATCAGAAACAACAAAGTGCAGATGTGCATACGAATGTAAGTAAGATATTCATTTCACAGTGTAAACAGCTTCAGTGATTTAAATGGGAGTTTTTGAGAGTGCCTGAACTCTGGCTAGACTGAATGAAAATGTTATTTGATAATGTAAATGTTCTTTACTCTCTGTAAAATGAAAGTGTTATAATTAGTAACTTACAAAATTGTTATTAAATTCAAATTAAATGCAAAGTCAGTCGAATTAAAAATATTTTATGGCATGACACCCATATATGGTACTTAAAGGGGTCATATGACGTGCTAAAAAAAGAACATTATTTTGTGTATTTGGTGTAATGCAATGTGTTTATGTGGTTTAAGGTTCAAAAAACACATTATTTTCCTCAGCTCATCATTCTGAAAAGCG